CAAATAGTGACACACAGGGCTCTTTCTTACAAGTATGCCAAAGATAAATGGTTTAATCATAAACGTGTGGGTTCAAAGAGACTTGTCGATGATTTAAGTTTATATTACAGTAAGAAAGATTAGGCCCCAGTGCCAACTGAAGACTCTATTGATATTGGTCAGATTTAGTTCCTGTAAGAGCTGCCAAGTTGCTCATTGGGTTCAGGGATGAATACTTTCTCATGGCCTTGAGTAAGTCACTTTAATTATAAGCTGTAAATAAAACCGGTCTACATGGCATCTTAAGTTTCAAAATGAGTAACAAAAATACTGTTCTCTCCCATTCTGTTGCATTCAGATCGAAGGGAAGGTGCCAGTACCACTGTAAGGGAAGAAGATTCATGAAAGAGAGGTTGACAAAGAAGATGTACACATGTGATAGTGATTAGATTCACAAATCCATCATAGTGTTCTCATGTTTAAAAGTTCTTTCTGTGACCAGCATCATTTATATGTTGAATATTATTGAACATTCTAAATCTGACTTTTCTGAGTTACCATACTTATCTGACCTTGCGTTCTTGCATTTGTCAAAACTGGAGACTTTCCTGACGAAATCCAACAGCCTAGACTTATTCACCTCATTTACATTTATTGGCTGTTCGTAGTTGAAACAATGGTGTTTTGATCATTCCACTCAACTGCACCCTCTGCTACAGCCACAAAAACCATGACCTGATGTGATTTTCAGTTCTAGTGCATCATGTATATGTTAGAGGAGATCAGATGTTGAACAGATATTCCCAAAGTGACATATACTATGAATAGTAGTGTCTCTCAATCTGAGGTAGGGGGAGATAGATAGACAGATAGACAGATAGATAGATAGATAGATAGATAATAAAAGAAACAATAATTCTGAAAGGTACTGGCAATAGTAATAAAATGCAACAGCACTTGAGGTCACAGCAGCAGAGGTGGAGCAGCCGCTGGGTTCAGACCATTTTCTCTGCTCTGGTCCTGACTAAAATGCTAAATGCTGTGTTACCATGTTTTAAAAAATGTGTATTCCTCCAGTGGATTTCTGCTTGATCTGTGTGGTTCGCTTTGTGAATGCTCTCTGCTCTGCTCTGAATCAGTGTTAAACTATGGACACTGTACTGCAGCAACATTTACTTATATATGCTTTATTTATAAAGCACAAAACTGTTTCAGAGCTATTTCGGACTTGCTGTTTCAAGCGCATTCAAGAGCAGCTAATTATCTTGTCAAAACAACTGAATTACTTATTTTATTATACATGTTGCACACAATTAATAATAATAATTCAGATTCCTTTTGTTTGCCATTTGCTGCAAACCACTTTGGAAGACAAAAGTCCCCAGGTTGTGCATAGTACATAAACAATTCTAACTTTTGGTCTAGTCTTGGTCCAGTCCATACATGTACTCATTTGTTCAGAAAAACATAAAAAATAATAATGCAAATCAAAATCTAATACAAAAGATGAAACTTTCAGCTTAAAAAAAAGTTTTGTTTTATTTAATTACTCACTTTTTAAACATAGCTCTCAACCAAATTGAGTATGTCATTCCTGATTGTTTTCATTAACGGGGAGTAGTCTTGCCCTGTCTGCGCTGGCGAAGGGGTTCACAGAGCAAAACATGACTTTAGAATGAAAAGTACACAGGTCGAACAGCTCTGAAAATATCTTCTTCCTTCCCGAGGCTCCCCTTTACCCAGAGCACTTCTCTGGGGACTCATGGGAAGGAAACGAATGGAGCTGCCAAGATTTTTAGTTGTCAAGCCAGAGTAATCCCTCATTTGTCCAGAAGTGATTCATGACAGACAATGTTTCAAAAGCAGTCGTCTGGACCAAGTTTTCTTAGCCTTTTCAAATGCATCCAGAAGTTATTTTCAAACCTATTTTTCCCAGCGAAATGGTACTCTATTTATTATTATATTATTATTTGTATTATTATTCATTATACCTGGTGCATATTATCAGACAGACAATGCTATCAGACAGACAATGTCGGTACAGTTGTTGTATGGTTATTTTACAAAGAATAAACATGCATACACAAATAGGAAATACACAATAATAAAATAATCAACCATCTGACAAACAAATCTGAACTAAAGACCATTTGTCTGTGAATAAGTCTGCTTTCATTCTTCAGTCAGACCGTTATTTGTTCCATCTGATACACATCCCTTAATCTGATTTTCCCCTCAGTGATGGTGGGGGCTGTGGTTTGATACAGGAGACTATTGTCTTTGCTATCAGATAAAATTCTTCATTTGATCTGATTTAGTTGGTTAATATTCCTAATGCAAAAGGTAGGCTCCAGTATGATTTTGATGCCCAGACTTTTTTCAATGGTTTTTATGGTCTATGACAAGACCACAGTCCACAAGTCTAGGGTTTGACCCAGTGGGGGGCGGGTCCCAGCTCAAAAGTGGCCAAAATGACGTGCGCTGACATGCTTGCAATACCACCCCGGGCCGATGGGGGTGGACCCGGAATGAGAATTATTCAATGCTAACATATAGCATTGGCAGACCTCTCAAAAACACCTTTACAGGATGGTCCAAAAGTTGGCTCTTGGCCCAAAGCTTCGTTCCACATGTGTGTCAATGCTGAGGCGAGTGAATTTTTTTGGACCACTCTAGTTTAGTTGCTGTGAATTTTTGAAGTCACTCGTTTAAATGAATGGGGCTCGTGCCGGCTGACGCATGCGCAGGTGGTTTTTTCACATTTTCCAGCCCCCGCAGACATTTTGAAACTGCCCATAGACCGCGGAAGTTGTAGCCCATTTGCTTGAACGGCGGAGATAGGCGTGACTACGTCCGTTAATATCTACAGTCTATGGTTTGACCATATTTAGAAGTGATGAAGGGCGTTCTGAAAAATCTGACTTTAGTTTTCCACTTAAACTCTCTCAGATCATTTAAGATTGACTTTATTGATCTCACACTGGAGACATTTACATAACTGGGCTATTAGTAATTGAATGTTCTTCCTGATGTGAAAATTCCCTGTCTCCATCTGCGATTATTGTATTAATTTCTAATTCCTATTTTCCTTTGACATATGCACTTTTTTGGAACTTTTACCATAACACAACATTGTTCCTTCATCAACAAGTACCTTGAGTTCTTTTGAGATTAATCCACACTATTATAACTTCTGGCATATGCAATTCCACCCATTCTGCTGACTTAACTGTGTCATAGTTAAACTGTGGCGCAGAGGGAGAAAAGAGGAAAGGAATCCACTGGCAGCTGTGGGTCAAAACGTACTGTATATGTAAGGCTAATATTTGCCTTTTGTCTTGTGTCCAAGCAGGGGTGTCCAAACTGTTTAGTATGAGGGCCACTTTAGTTACCAAACCAGCCCTAGGGCCAACAACATGGACTGTAATCGTATTTTTTACAGATTTTGTGATTTAAAATGGGGAGTGATGTATCCGTATTTATTCACACTGCAGCACAATCAGAAATTAATATTAGTATGTCAAGTTGATGACTGGATTCCAAAAAACTAAACTGTTAGAAGACCTACTTGGTGTTAGCCAGGCAGAGGGACACATAAAGTGACAAAACTGACCGCATTTGGCCCATGGGCCGTAGTTTGGACATGCCTGGCTTAGAAGCTTGGTTTATGTTCTATTGTAGGTGTCCAAATTAGATCTGTCTCATCTTTTCCGCATCAAATAAAGTTGCCTTTGCTTTTGTACTAAACTTATGTGTAACTGTAAACCACTTTAGTCATAATTTGTTTATTTCCCAATATCCTTTGCTTAGTCCTCCTCACAGCAATATACATCGTCTGTTTTGCAATTACATTACACATTCCTGCTTTATACAAAATCTTGTTGAAACACTTTGTTCAATACTGCCCGGATTGTCCATTGTAACTCTTCAAACTAGATTCAGATGTTTTCGAGTAAATTGCATAAAAAGAAATTCGCCGGGAAAGGCCACAAAATAATATTTGAAGTCATGTAAACTTATTATGTGGCCGTATACAACCAATTCAGAGCAGTTTCCAGTTGGCCAGAGCACAGTACAGTTAATAAACTCAAGAAGTGCAGTTTTGTGGCTCCCAGTTTCTCTCTGAGACTTTATCTGCACTGGTGCTTTGATAAGAAGTAGTGGTGGTTGTGGAGTCGACAGGTCAGCTTGATAGGGACAGAGGAAAACGTACGAGTCTGGATTATAGGACAGTTACAGCCCCATTTGAAGAATAGTTCACTTAAAGGTTTCTGACGGAGGAAGTAAAAGGAGAGGGCTGTGCGGTGAGAGGAACAGTGCTGGGGAAAAGTTCCACCTGTTTTCAAATCAGGTCCATGACGCTTTTAGTGCAATATAGTGCAATGCCCATGTAGATGTGTTGTTTTTATTGTGCATATACAGCTGGTTAGTAATGATAATAATAATGCATACACTTAAGCTCCTGTGGACTCACCACCTGCAGGAGGATCAGTGAGGGGCTTAATCCCCCGACCCAGAAATGGATTAAGGGGAAGAAAATGGATGGATGGATGGACACTTAAACGGGGCTTTTCATTACACTCAGTTCAACATGATCTGCCACAGTGATTAAAAATCAATTTAGCTCCAAAAACATATATGTTTAGGGCATTTTTAATCACTGTGGTGGGTTGAGGGTAGCACAAGGGTAGACACTTCATATGTCATTATTGATTCACTTCATACACACTGTTGTTAATCTATGACTGTACCCACCGCTGTTCTGGGGCAGACTGACGAAAGCGATCATCACCATCATTCACAGTATATTCCAAAAGGATTCTGTCTTTTACCCATTCATTTCAATAATAAACCATTGGCCCTTACAGAGAATGTGTTTTGCTGCCTGGCACAAGTTTCATGATGTATTTTAAAAAGATTAAATTATAGCCAGGCTTCTAATGCAAATCTCCAGGAAAGTTATGCATCTACATTTCCATATAAAGCAAAGATTTTCACTTTCTTGTGCCTGGTGTGTGCAGGATGGCCCAGACCGAGGATGATGAGGAGGAAGCCGCACGAGAGAGGAGGCGCAGGGCCCGACAGGAGCGTATGAAGAACAGGGAGAACGAGGAGAACAGCAGCAGTCAGCCAGAGAGCAGCTTCCTCACCAACAACCACAGGTGCCCGCCGAGCTGAGAGAGAAAAATCTATATTTATGCAAATAGTCAGTGTCTATTGATATTATTCTTGTTATCAAACTTGATGTGAGAGTCACCCCTGTTCTATGGTATTAGTCATTCAATTCGTAAACTACTGTTGTAGGCTGAGCTTTCCTGGGGCAATGGATGAGACCAAAGCTATTCTGTGCTGTCAGCTGCTTTGACCTGCTTTGGCCTGGATGAAGTGTCTTGCCTAAGAAACGAGTTCAGCACCTGAGAAAACTATGGCCAAATGTACAGCCAACCCTTATGCTTATACTGTGTGACCAAAAGAGCCAGTTAGACCCGTAAGCGGCAATGAAGAGCCTAAACCTGTTCATGCAAATGTATTTAATGCATTCCATAAGGTGATTTTGTTCAAATTAAATATACCAAGAAATAAACCAAATCTTTTCTCAAAATGTTTACAATTGATCCATTGAAAACAATGTCTTTTTATTTGTGAAATGTCAAACAAAGTGTGTGAAAAAAGCTTCAAATGTGCAAGAAATATATTAAACAATAGATAATAATTAGAATAATAATAATGCAACGGTTTTATATAGCGCTTTTTCGGACACTCAAAGACGCTTCACATTTGTTATTATTCTTTCACTCCATACACGGTGGTGATAAACTACTACTGTAGCCACAGTTGCCCTGGGGCACACTGACAGAAGCGAGGCAACCAGTATGTGCCATCGGCCCCTCCGACCACCACCAACCATTCACACACACACCAGACTCATTCTAGGCAATGGGGGTGAAGTGTCTTGCCTAAGGACACAACAGCAGTTTGGCACTTTACAGCCGAAGCCGCCCCACTGTGGCATCTGGTTTCTCCAGAGGTTAAGTGTCTTGGCAAGGACACAACGGTCCCTCAGTGGGAGTCGGTGGATAAAGTCTTATGGTGGGCTCAAACCCACAACCTTCAGGCGCAAAGGCCAATGATTACATATTAAATTAATTGAAAGCACTCTGCAAGCCACCATGTTGCATTTATCAAGCTCTTGCAAGTTCCATTGTTCTCGGTTCTTTAATATATCATTCCTATATCCATTCTTATCATACACACTTTGTTATCGCACTTCCAACTCCACTCGCCATCATCAGCCACATTCGGCCTCACAACTTCCGCAAACCTTTGGCCTTTTGTCCCACTCCAATCCAGATGTCATTCCAGATAAAGCCGTAACATCCAGGGAGAAGCCAGTAAAGATGGGTTGGCCGTGCCGCTGTGGAGGGGGGCGCTTGGTTTGGACATGGCTCTGCACATCTGCGGTCATGAGTATTTCCGCACAAGGCGCTCTCAGACTGCACACAACAGACGCAGTGTGAGGAGCCAGGCTGGGACGGCACCGCAAGCGCACGGCCTTTGTGCATTGTTTAAACACGGGGCTAATGCTGAACAGACACTGGGGTCAGGAGGATGTGCAGTCATGGCTTATAATACAACTGTGTGCTTTGTGAAGAGAAAGATATGAATGAGAGGATGAAAAGTCATGAAAAATATCCATAGTAAAGAACTAGCAACAAAGTTTGTGGTGTGTTTACAATATAATAAAGCTGGGATACCTGCATTTCAACCCAAACAAATCTACACTACACTGTATCTACACTGCAAAAAGTGAGAAATGATAAGTAAAAAATGGCTTGAACTTCAGGCTACATTTTAGTTCTGACAACTTAAAACAAGAATTGCCAACAGGATTAGCTAAAATAGCTTGTTTGAAAAGGAAGTTACAAGAAAATACTCCAATTGAGTGAAAAAAAAATTAAAGTGCTGGTCCCATTGGCAAATATATTTCATGGTATTTTCAAGCATTTTTTTACCTTTTGTTTAATCATTTTTGCAGTGTATCATAAGATCCATGTCACTCTCAAAACAGTTGGGTTCCACATTTTTTTTCACCACTATTTTTGCCACTGTATTAAGTCAGAAAAGTGAAAAGAAAAGACCATCCTCAGTCAACCGATCAGCTCTCAGCCCAAAGCTTCAAAAAGTGACTTACAGTATGCAAAAAAGACACAAATTAACCAATTTTTGTGAATTTAGCGAATACAATACACCCTGCCAAGTCTCTTATCATCGTTTTATTGTTTTATCGGTGCGTGTGTGTGTGGGGTGGGGGGGTGGGGGGGGGGAGGGCATGGGCAGGATTGTTTTTTAGCCAAACTGTAAAGCACTTTGTGTTGCATCTGTTGTATGAAAAGCGCTTTATAAATAAACTTTGATTGATTGATTGATTGATCTCCCATAGGATCCCCTGTACTTATTAGGCAGGAAAAACTAAACTATATTGAGACAACTGAAAAAACCACAGTGGATTAGAGATCCACTCTCACCAACATAATGGAGATGGAACTATGAATGTCCCCAAATAATAAGAATCATCTATAGATTCACGTTTAGTTAGAATTGGAACAGCAGCTTTTGTGTCTGTGCTACTATCTTATTTGGTATTGCTTTGTGCCCTGTTAGCTCTGGGGCTAGTCCATGTTTAGTTGCGGTGTTTGTGAATTTTTCATTATTCACGGTAAATGTAAGGCATCGTAATAAATCCATGCTGGACATTCAAACTGACCACACACATGGGCAGCAGCAGAACTAATAAAACAGTGTGCCTGATTTTTGTCCATGGAGATATTGTGCTCCAATTTTCCGCTTTCTTTTTGCCACCTAAAGCTGCTGCTGCTGTTGCTGCTGCTGTTGGAGAAATCAGAGAGGACTTGTTCCTTGGATTTACAAAACTACAAGCAGACTCTTATTTAAGGGTACAAGACAAAGCCATTCACCTGTGTTTGGTCTTTCGCAGTGGTAAACACTTATACTGTACATATAATATTTAGCCTTTTCTGAATAAAAGTTGAAGTTTAGTTACTGGGTCCTGGGTTCGAATCCCGGTCGGACCAGGCCCTTTCTGAGTGGAGTTTGCATGTTCTCCCCGTGTCTGCGTAGGTTTCCTCCGGGTACTCCAGTTTCCCCTATCACTAAAAATATGTACAATAGGTCTGGCATGCGCCTCCTGTACTGGCGACCCCATCTCTGTGTGGAGTGAGATACAAATGCCCAAAAAATGACAATTGTAAACCGCTTTGTGACTCTGGTCTGTGAAAGGCGGTATATAAATAAAGATTACTTACTTACTTACTTACTTACAGTACTACTCTCAATTAAAAATACAATATACATGATGGTTTTATCCAATCAGAGAGCAGATCATGACTCATTTGGTTTGTGAGTTTGTTAAATTTTATATAAATGGTTTTGACTTCTCCTTTTTCTATATTTAATTTAACAGCAGAGAAATGGCACACATTTATTTAAATGTAATCAGATTTAGAGCGTTGCTTTTTGAGCCACATGTGTTTACTTTTTGATACATTGTGTTCGTCCCAACAAAAAAGAGCATTGTGAACAAACTTAGAATATACTTGTTTTTATATAAGTGAATCGCTATAGATATTGACACTTTTGGCTGAAAGCTGAGTGAGGCTGGTCCTCTCTTTTTCACCTTTCTGTCTGAAAAAGCGAATCTAAAAATGGCACTGACACCCAAACACACATGCTAGTGATAGAGCAGAACTTTTTTGTGAACGAGGAACTAATAAGATTAATTGTTCCAAATTAACTGGTATCGTGATGGAAAGTTTGTGCATATGTTATCCAATAAATACTGCATTATTTCACCACTGCAGTTTGCTGTTGTGACTCACAGCTGGCCTTTTGTCCACACAGCGCGACAGACTCCGGCTCTTTGGGAGGAGGAGGGGGAGGAGGAAGAGGAGGAGACGACGAAGACCAGGCCCTGATGGATCGCATGGCCAAGCGAGAGGAGAGGAGGCTGAGGCGTGCGAAGGAGGCCATGGAGAGACAGAAATCGGAAACCCCTGAGACTGAGAGCACCATAACCGAGCCTACCGACAACGGGGACGAGGACAGGCCTTCGTCGTGGCGCAGGGGGCGCTACAGAGAGAGTGAGGAAGAGGAGAGCAGGTCTTACAGTCGAGAGGAGAAGGAGGAGGAAGAGGCTGCTCCATACAAACAGCCAGTGGAGGACGAAGAGGACGAGCCGAAGAGGTTCTATCAACCAGAGCAGGTCAGAAACATGTGGGGGAAAAAACCAATATTTGTGGGTATTGAGGTTCCAATATACTATATGTACAAACTGCTATATCCATCCATCCATCTTCTTCCTCCTAATCCATTTCTGGGTCGGCGGGGTGGCCATCAGAGCTGCACCCAAACAAACAAAGTACTATAATTGCAAGTATTTGTTAAATCATGGTGGGGGTTTTTCACTATAACCGTAACTCTAAAATGTGACTTCCCTATTCATTTCAATGTATTGTTGTATAGCCCTAAATCACAACAGTAGTTATCTATGAGGACCTGAGAAAACTGTTGATTGGCCAACACAGATCAGAGAATCAATCAGTTCAAAGACACGAAATGCATTCCTTACTTGAGATTTTTGAGACTAGGTTCTCTAAAGTAGTTTAATTTCTAACTTGATGAACTTGAAGATAAAATAATGAGCAGCTGGTGGCCTTTTTAATATTCATACATTTTCTTTGGCAAGACTAGTAGTAAATGGAGATTTCGTTTCATTGCACGCCAAAATCCATGTCAGCCACAGGCATCTACATAATTCATCAAAAACACAAACAGTTGTATAAGATGTGACAACTGTACAACCACAAGCCACAAAGAACTTTGTTTCAATATTTAAGTTTAATGACATACCCCAGAATTGTTCAAAGTAACCAAATTGTATAAGCATATCAATAGCTATATATTAGATTAGATACTGTATTACAACAACAGGGACGTGCTCATGGATGAAGTTTTTCTCTACATCAAAAAGTAAACTCCTCGAGCTCAGTAACCGTTTTTGTCACACTCTCCAGTTTGGGATGAAAACAATCCGTGTTTTAGCAATCTCTATGATCCTGGTGTTTTGATATAATCCAGATGTGAGCCATATAAGGAGTAATTAGATGCCTTTCTCGGGGAAAAGTTAAGCTTGCCTTAGCCACTATCTCAGCAACATGTAGCCGGTAGCTAACGGCGCTAGCTTGTGTTTAAATCGGCCTCTTCCACATTAAGGTAAACCCCATGGGTGTCAGCAGCACTTGGTCAGTCCACCCCTAATATACAATCTATGTTAGCAATTCAACAACAACAACATGTTATAAGCTTTCAAGAAGCAGTAAAAACATGTTGATGAAGAATGGTATGTGGCATATCAAAAAAGTTTTATACTGGGGTAAAGTTCTAAAAACAACCTGCATCCCTAAAGTATCACCTGTGTTTTAAGGCAGTAAAACCCCTCACACTTTATTCTGTACTCTTTTCTAACCATCTGAACTCACGACTACTGACGTGCGAATGCGGAGAATTTAAACTTGTTAGTTATAGTCTGAGTGCTGCTGCAGCTGTCAAAAGTCGTACGTACACTGTAAAATACAGCTGCACGGTGCTGAGGGGCAGGAGCAGGACTGAGGGCTGCAGGAAGTCCACTGTAGTCCTCAGAACTAATCACTGCGGTGCACACAAGCCACAATAGTTTCCTTCTGACTTTAAATGAAGGTACACCTGTCATCTTATACTAGCAGTTATATGATATTATAAATAATGTTGTTGGAGTATACACGCAAAAAAAAAAAAAGTGCACATACAAAAATCAGCAAAACAGCAGATCAGATAAATCGATTGTAGACAGCATATAGACAGCATGTAAACTGGGACAAAGCCTGTCAGACTGGTTTGATGGCAAAGATAAATTGAGTCTGGTTTTGTAGCGTGTAGTGAATTTTTGTCATTGTAAAACAGTTCAAAGTGGATCAAAACATATAGTATGTTTTGCTTTGCTCACAGACATGTCTTTTTTGACAGTGTACAATGTTACTTTGAGCTTAGGGAAAGGAAAGGAGCCTTAGGAGCGTACCACGTTCCAGCAACTGTTCATTTCAAACAGTAGTCCCTGGGCAGGTTGGAGTTAATGTCTTAAAAACAAACTAAAAGCTAAAGTAGAGGGGGACTTGACCATGTTATGTTAACATCTTTCATTTCATTCAATTCAACTCAATAACATTTCAACAAAAATATACCTTTCAAAACCATAGACTGTAAACATAGCTATTGCACAATCCTATTATACACAGCTATTTCATTTTTTTTTCATTGCAGTTAATTTCCAGAATACTGTATACAATTATAAACAACAGCTCACACACACACACACACACACACACACAAAAACACACCCACGCTCACACATGCACACACCACACACACACACACACACACACACACACGCACACACACAAACACACCCACACTCACACACACAAACACACCCACACTCACACAAACACACCCACACACAAACACACCACACACACACGCACACGCACACACACAAACACACCCACGCTCACACACACACACACAAACACAAACACACCACACACACACACGCACACACACAATTATTGCTCATGAGTTCAAAGTTGTCTTTGGAGTTGTGATTTTGTGCAAATGTGTGAATAGATGCAGTAGTTTGTGTAAATATTGGTGTGTGCTTAAGTGTGTGTGTGTGTGTCTGTAGGAACCTGCTGAGGAGCCCCAAATGCCCGACGAGGTACGCTCACATTGATTTATTGGCTTTGACGGAGCGCTGGGCTGATGCGTGTTTCAAAGCTAACCATTTCTCACAGGAGCTAACGGAGCAGGCGTCAGAAGGAACAGTGAGTGAGAGTTCAGGGCAGGTCATGTCAGAGAAGCATAAACTATGGGACCACGGTGCATCCCCAGACTCCTGTGCAGATAAAGTATCAGACAGACCGCTGGTGACGGACGGCGGTACACTGGACCACAAGCTCTCACTGGACTATGAGGTATTAGCGGCTAAGGACGTCACAGCACGGAGTGGGGCACCGCTATGCATGCTGGGTAACGTCAGCAGAAGTGGACAAAGGGTCAATTTGTGTCTTATTTTAAGGAATACGTTTTAAGGAATAACAAGAGGGTAAATATATTAATATAGGATGATTGGTAGGAGGAGTATTCCTAGTGGGAGTACTGACAATAGTAATATTATAAGTACTACAGTGATAGCAGTTTTTTGTAGGCTAGTAGTAGAATTATTGATGGTGGTGGTAGTGTTAATTGTTGTAGTAGTAGTAGTAACGTTAGGAGAAATTCAGCAGCAGTAGTAGTAGTAGTAGTAGAAGTATAAAAGTAGTAGTAGTAGAAGGAGTATTCCTGGTGGGAGTACTGATAGTATTCATTCATCCATCCATTTTCTTCCCCTTAATCCATTTCTGGGTTGGGGAGGTGGCAGTCAGCGCTGCACCCAGTACACAGAGCACCAGCCCCTCACTGATACTGATAGTACTGATAGTAGTAATATTATAAGTACCACAATGATTGCTGATGGTAGTTTTAGTTGTAGTAGTAGCTGTGGTCGTCGTCGTTGTCGTGGTAGTAGTGAGAGATAGATATAGATAGATCATCAATCCATATAAACACATAATTAACTAAAAACAAATGTATAGTACAGATAGTAGAAGTAGTAGCAGTAGTACCGCTAGTTGTAGTTGTAGTAGCAGATTTTTTGATGGAAGTAGTAGTAGAATGATTGAAAGAAGTTGTAGTGGTAGTATTTGCAGTAGTAGTAGCAGTAGTAGTAGTTGTGTGATTGAGAAGGAGAAGCCATTTTTAGCAGCAGTCTTTTATTGACCAGTATGTTGGGCTTGAGTAAGATCATTTGAATGGGTGAATAAAAGTATTTACTTGTTTAAAATGTTATTCTTTCATGAATAAAACTATTGAAGGTACAGACGTGTCAAACAAAGTCCAAGGTTGATTTAACCCGACTGCACTTTGTCACAGTGTGGTGTGGATTTTTGGAGTGAAGGTTCAAACCACAGTTCACAGTCAGAAAAACACCGTGCCGGGCGGCACGGTGGCTGAGTGGATAGCACTCTCGCCTCTCAGCAAGAAGGTCCTGGGTTCGAGACCCGGTTGGACCAGGGCCTTTCTGAGTGGAGTTTGCATGTTCTCCCCGTGTCTGCGTAGGTTTCCTCCGGGTGCTCCGGTTTCCCCTACCACTAAAAATATGTACAATAGGTCTGGCATGTGCCTCCTGTACTGGCACCCCCACTCCCAAAAATAACAATTGTAAACCGCTTTGAGACTCCGATGTGCAGTGAAAAGGCGGTATATAAATAAAGATTACATTACATTACATTACAACACTCTTATTACATGTTTCTTTGGTCACTGAATGGTCACTGATTTGTGCATGATTTCACCTGAACCAAGCGCATGACACAACCTCTCTCTAAAATTATGTTTGAATATTGTTGCTGAAAATAATGAATGTTCTTAGTATTCTCTGATCTGTGTTGGCGATTACATTGAGACGGTTTTGTTAAGTCCTCTGAGATGACTGCTGCTGTGATTTAGGGCCATACAAGAAGAAATGTTATTATTTTGTATTGTATTGTAGCATTCTTAGTCCTAAAGTTAGAGGTTGATTATGGGTTAAAAAACAAGTATTTTCCAAACCAAACTGCCAAAAGACACAACCAAGACAAATAATCTCTGAGTTGTAAGTAAACAGTCTTCCATAAAAAAACTGCACTGGAAGAGAAAAAAATAAACAACGGAGTGAGGTGTGAACAGCCTGAATGAGCATATCCTATTGTGTTGTTGTCATGGAAATATTCAATTCAATGTATTCTTTGTAAAGCCCTAACTCCCAACCGCAGTTATCTCGGAGAACTTACAAAGTGTTTGATTCGCTGACAATATCAGGAAATCCAACTGTGTGAACACAGGAAATGAAAAAATAACAAGCATATGTATGTTTGCATTTCCTTATAGCAGACGTTCGTAATCCCACGTCTGAAAAGTGTTGTTGTGTGAAAGCTGAAATATTGTACATTCTACTAATCCTACATACCAAAAAAAAGTAAATATTGTTGAAAATAATTACTAATCCAATTTCACGAAATCGTGAATAGTTAATTAATTTAATAATTTATATATAATTTTCTTGCATCTTCTGTCGGCTTAAACATGCCAAGAAGAAGTGCAGAATGAAAATTCTATCGGCACGATGGAGTAGAAATCACTCTCCCTTCTCATCAAGAAGGTCCTGGGTTTTATCAAAATAACCGTTAATAAGCAAATTGCACATCCCCCTGACATAATATATGTTGTTCTTGCTCAAATAAAGTTATACATTTGCTTCATTAAAGTAAATTTTACTTCCTACTCCATTTTTTGTAGACTGTCCTACAGTAGTAACGAGGCAAATCACAGCTGTCACAGAAAGGCTTTAGATTGTCACTTTCCCAGCAGTTGAAGTGGTCCAAGTCAAGGATCCTTTTGTTAATTCACACCATTCATTTGTTTGGTGGATGTAAAAAGAGCCTTAGCTATAAATCAACTCACCCGCAGAATGATCTGTTACATATATGCCGGCCCTACTTACCTACTTACTTGTAATCAGGGGAAACTGAAAAAAATGCTGTTCTAAATGAAAAACTGATGTATATATAAATATAAGTTTTAATTATTATGGCCCACAGTCCATTTGTTGTATTTGGGGTTTTAACGTTATAAAAAATGTAGGCTTGATTTATCTCACGTTCTAAAGTTTCACATTCACACTCAAAGACGCTTCACGTGTCATTTTTCATTCACTGTGTACACAGCGGTGATAAACTACTACTGTAGCCACAACAACAGTTTACCACTTTACAGGTGCAGCCGCCCTACTGTGGCACCTGTTGTTCACAGAGGTCTCCCATCGCAGTACTAACTAGACCCTGCCCTGCTTAGCTTCAGAGGCCTGACTTTCACATGCAGGTGGCAAAAGTTGAATTGTACGACTTTTGAACCGATCTAGTTTTCTGAGTTTTGAGTGTTTGTCATATGATAAACAAAATTTCATCAATATCTTGCTTGTTAGAGTTCCTAGGTTCACATCCTGGTCGGAACAGATCCCGGAACAGAGTGGAGTTTGCATGTTCTCCCCCTTTCTACGTAGGTTCCCCCTACCACAAAACCCGCACAAACGATTTTGATGCGCCAGTGTGTTCGGCGTCTCGCTTCGTCATCACTGTGTGGAGAAAATAAACAATATCTGAACTCTGAACATTGTAAAGTGCCTTGGATGACCTTGGTGTGTAAAAGTGTGCAATATGAATAAAGATTTCTCTTGTCTTTCTCACTCATTTCCAGCTCTCTGCAGAAGCAAGGCAGAAGCAGCTCTCTGCTTCTGCCTTGAGGTGCGGCTTTGCCTCTTTGACATGATGTGTTTGTTTACCAATGTGTTTCTTGCTCAGCTGGAGGAGAGAGGCGGGGCCATAGAGGAGCAGGAGGAGGAGCCGAGGCCGAACGGAGCCATCCACAGAGAAGACACGCCTCCCAAACAGCACCGGAAACCGGAGAGGACTCTGAGGTACGCAGATCAGCTGCCCACATCAAGCATGCAGTCTGTTCACCTTATGGGCATCCGTCCATCTGTTACATGGAAAGGCGTTTGGAATGAGCCATTATCGCTTTCATTTGATCCTAAAGCCTTTTTCATGCCTCAATTATCATTATTTTCTTTTCATGTCAGCCATTAGATCAGCAATATTATTTCTACAGCTAATTAATTGGTTAGATTGTTTGAATTGAACACCAAAGGCAACTCAAAAGTGCAAGCACAAAACAAGACACATTAAATACACAGAAAACATATATAATCACAGTCAATTTTAAAAAGTGCGGATACAAACCTTCCGCTAAATGCACAGCTAAACAGAACTGAACAAACCTGGATTTGAACATGGTCAAAGAAGAAGAGGCCTGTCTCACATTTTCAGGAAGATGTAATAACTTTTTTGCCATATATAGAGAAATACTGCCCCTGATACAGTATGTAGCAAAACATACAGGCTCTGTGTATGCAGGTACAGACTGTTGTGTGCTGTTTTAATGACCCATTACTTTCGCTACAAAGAGTACTGGCATGGGAAAGGTTAAAAGGCTGGGAAATAGTGATTCTATTCACGGAGGGGGTATCCCAACTTTGTATTTAGATTCAGACTGTTGTCGCAGATCCGCACCGACTGTCTTCGTTTGAGTCCGTCTCTGCTCAGCTGCACTGGGCTGTGAATCCTACAGAGTAAAGAAGAGGGCATGCCACTTGTTTGTTAAATAAAAGTCCTCATTTACTACTTTTGAGGATTTACCCAATTTACTATTTTTGACTGTGCAGAAAAACCCTGTGCATCAGGAGAACACCTTTATCTCCTGAATGTAGAATCCAAAGGGGATTACATCACCTAGTATGAGTAAACTGATCAATGAGGATATTCCAATGTTGCCTGCAGACCAAGCAGTGTGTGGTGCTGGAGGGCTCAGAACAAATGTCCTTCCCCAAAATGAGGTATAACAATTGATCAACATTTGACAGAGCTGAAAATGCATGACTGTATTTAAAAGTCTTTGGAAGTCTTTCCTTGAAATCTCACAATCCCCACTTCGAGAACAGCTGCCTTAGACGGTCTAAATATTGTCCAACTTTTGTATTCGGCTTTAGTGAGAATGTGTGCTAAATGTTGTTTAAATGTCTAAACAAAAGAAAAGGAGAGAGCAACATTTTTAAAGAAATGTTTTGTTATGTTATAAATATTTCCCCAGACAATTATGTGATAGTGATTAGATTCACAAACTATAAATTCTGTATCCTTCCCACGTCTGAAAACTCTGCCTATATCATGCATGCTGGTTAAATACTGTCACCACTTCTGGACTCCTTGATAAGAAAATAATAAAGATCATACTTGTATGTACTGACAAGACCTGGAACTTTGCGACAGTTTTGTTTCATGTGAGCCCAGGAATGATAGAGAAATAAGCCATAAACTAAGACAGCTACCGTACTACCAGGAAACATTTAACAACTGCCCTCCACCTCTATTGAATCTTGTGATGTCGCATGAACGCAGACTATGAGCTTCTGTCTAAACCCAGACCTGCAGTTTTTTACACGGTTAAACAGCCCCCAGTGCATTCCGTTAAAGTCTGTGACACTAGCGTAGTCTGGTGCCGGTGTAATGGGACATGATGACAGCGTTGGTAATAGAGAAGCTTATTGCAATGAGGATTTCCTTGTTTTGTAAAACAGCGACAGTGTTTTAGACTTGGGTCACCTGCACTAAGCTGCACTTGGCTCTCAGTCTGAAGCTGTGACTGGAAACTGGAGATAAGTGGAAACATTATCCTCCTGAAGCTACTGCAGTCGTTTGTGATGACGCAAAATAGACGCCAGGACTAACTGTGAAAGGTATGGCACAAAAACAGAGACATGATTTATATGTTTCATCAACTTAATATCTGAGGAACATGGAGTAATTGTGCTTTAGATTGTATTAAAGCTAGGGGTTTTCAATATTTATATGATGTGTTTTTATTTCTATGCATTAGAAATAAATGCAGAGAAATACGCAATAATATTTCTATGCATTTAAATCAGACAAAATCAATTTTTTTATCTGATCGAAACATGTTATCGTTTGCATACTTGTAGGAAAGATCCCTGCGACTTGACGATTAGGTGATTCACTTCTTTTGTTTCTTAAATAAATAGAAATGATTGACTTGAAGGTACAGTATTTAGGGACATGTTTTTGCCAATTAAAAATGTATCGTGTGAAGAAGAATTGGTGTACATCACTACCTCACTGTCAATCATTGGGAATTTGGTGAAAATAGATAAACGCAATAAACTTCAGATGTAAAAGAAAGTAGAGGAGCCGGCCGAACACAAAGCAAAAGACAGGAAATGATAAAAAATAAAAAGAGTGGAAAACAAGGTGGGACTTCCAGCAACATACACTATCCCTAGATACATTTGAGCAGTTATTATGTTTTTTATTGGCTGGATATGTTTAAGGCAGAGGACAAATGGGCAAGAGCTCTGGGACTATCTGCTCTGTCTGGTGTGTAGTCTTGCACAGTTATTCCCTTGTGGTTTTACTGCCAATGGCAAATAAACTGATTCTTGATCTTGATCTTGGCCTAAGGGGATATTGAAGTGTATACTAAAGTAATATTAATTAAAACAGAATTCTTGTAGTCGGACCTGGATTTCCCAACATGTCTTGGGAATTAGATTAAATGAATGCTTCTGTCAGACAAAACAACAAAGCTGAAACATTTTTTAACAAATTGTGAGCCAATTATCAACAACAAAAGGCTTTATCCATCTCACTTTGCATGTAATGAGTTTGCCATATATTAATTTCACATTGTAAATTGGATTGTATTTACTATTAAATGGGCTTTTGAACAATATTCAAATTTTCTAACTATACCATTGACAAGTCTTATAAATAACTAAAATCTAGACATTTTCTTCCAAATTGATGTGATTTTTTTCCCCTTATCTTTTGTCAATTTTTTATTCCAAAAAATTCAAATTCATTCAGTTTGTTCGAAAATTGCTATTTTTTTTCGGCCAATTGTGCATTCACCCTACTTCTCTTGCACTCACAAACACAGGTGCGATTGTTCACTCACGACACCCTGGACTCTTTAAATATTCATCCCTTCTTACGTGTCCGCTGCTTGTGCCTCTAAACACACAGTGATTGTAACCCCGTGTCTTCCCTCCCTCGCTTCTTCTCTCCTGTCCCAGCCGTGGAAGTGTGCGCTCCCCGGACGTCCGGGACGAGGAGGAGGCTCGACTGGAGGCAGAGCGTAAACTGGAGGAGCTGAGAAGGAGGCGCGATGACGCAGAGAGCGAGGAGTTCCAGCGCATGAGACAGAAGCAGCAGGAGGACGAGGCCGAGCTGGAGGAGCTGAAGAAGAAGAGAGAGGAGAGGAGGAAGGTGCTAGAGGAGGAGGAGAGGCAGAGAAAGCATGAGGAGGAGGAGCGCAAGGCCAGAGAGGAGGTACGGGCATCATTTACAGAACATTCACCAACAACATTGCTCTTCCAGGGCTCTGGCCACCAAGACACACTCACAGTTTGCAAAAGACAAAAGAAGAAATATACACGATACAAGATATAATAATATCAATATAAAAAACACTAAGAGACGCATTAAAAGGGCGAGTGGTGCTAAGATGGATGCTAAGCCAAGCTGGAGGCATCTGATTGGTAAATCCTTATATTGCTCTTATCTGAGTTTACAAAGACAATATCAAAATAAAAGCCCAAAATGGTGTGTGTGACGGGAACGGTTACTGAGGTAGAGGAGTTTACTTTACAATGTAACTCAATAGGCCAAAGCAAGCAAAACTTTGTTTAGGAGCACTTCCCTATTGGGCTTCATTGAGCTACATAAGCTATTGGCAAAATTAGCATTAGCTAACAGCAACACTGTTCCGCTTATATTTCAGTGATGGGCACATGTCATATCGTGTTTGAAACCTCTAGATGAGTTCTTTTGAGTCAATGAATTTGTTTTTCAATTCCAAGAGTCTAAAAAGATCACAGTTTATCAGATGCTAACATTACCAGCTAACGTTACCAGTGTAAACACAAGCTCTGGGATTATAGTCAGATGGCTAGAAATGTGTTTGAAAAGTGTTGATATTGCTCCATATTGTATCATCCAGATTAGTGGATGATACTTGTGATTTCCTCTGGGCCTGGTGCACTGTGCTGTGACTTTACAAGACTTTTTTTGAAGGTCAGTTTTGGCCCTTTATATTTTGACACGGTTCTGTTCTTGGGTGAAAGGAAACACAGGTCAAAACAACTGAACAACCTTTCCCACTGTTTTTTTTTTTTTTTAAAGAACATGTGTTTCCTCTCCTGTTAATCACTTTACAATAGATGTTCCCAAACGTATTCCCTTCCCTCTTTACTGGTTTTGGCCGACTTCGCAGGGGTCTGTCTCCTTGGCTCTATTTTCTTTTTTCTCTTGTGAGATGTTAATGAGTGCATTTGGTTCATAATTAAAAGATGGCCCAGAGATACAGTCCTGCTAATTAAGCAAGACAGAGGCTGCTGGAGAGCGTTGAGCCTCTGCCAAGTATACCAGGCCATTCCGATACACCACTAATGCTTCAAAGGCTGCTTGTGAGGAAAAACAGTTGTATTTGTGTGTGGTTCTGTATCGCCAAAGTGGTGTTTTTTCCCAAGGCAGTGATCTTTGTAAATAAGTATTCACTGGAAGCAATTGAATTAGTTTTTGAGCCGGTTCATTGAATAAAGTGAGTAAATTGATTAGAAAGTGCCACATGGTTGTCCATTATCTGTGCAGGCCGACTTCCCAGTTCGTTTGTGACTCTTGGGTTAGTAATTTGTGTGTTTTAAATTGTATTACATGATTTGAATGACTGATGACAATTCTTCGAAAGCAAAACTGCTGCTTATTGGATTTTGAAAAGTGCATATGATCCAAATGACAGTCATCTCTTCACTGAGATCACTGTAGATCAGGGGTTCCCATACGTACTTTATGTACACAAATTCATTGTAATAATTCAAAGCAGTATTGTGAGAAAAACATACTGTGTTTTGTTTGTCTATTTGTTTATTTGTAATTTTGAATGTGTATTATTCATAAATGAAAGTCTTTACTACAAAACCATATATTATTCTGGTAATATTATTATATTCACTATTATAGTTCTGGTTATTATTATTATTTGTCATATTGATGACACGGTTTTAAGAATCCATGGTTTACAGCTCTATGTGATTCAGTGTTTGTAAATCCAGACATGAGCCCTAACAACCAACCAATCAGGAGCCTACTGTCACAGAATTCAATGCCACTCCAATATTTCTACCAAAAAAATGTGCATGCTTTTGGCTCCACGTTCCCACTCAAACCACCTTTTCGAGCTAGTTCTAACCAGCTTCTTCCGTATTAAAGTGATAGTATGTAACTCTAAATTAATTACAAATTTTAAGAATTGTAGTAAATTGACCTCCTGGCCTTAAATGTTGATATAAAATAAGTAATTTTATTAATTCTAATATTACGGCTAAGTCCCGCCTTCCCTTCTCTGAAGCCTGGTTCACACGAGACGATTTTAAAATTGTCGGCCGATTTTTCTCCGTGTTAGACCCCACACGGGGAGATTAAAAATCCTGCGTCTAACCACTTTGGTCGTGCAGTGTGTGGTGCGTAGCCACACGGCAAGATCACGCAAGCCACAAACATCACACACGAACCGACATCCCCCCCCCCGAGCATTCCCAGGTCAGACGGAGATCTCACAAAATCTCTCGAGATCAAGCGTGACTTCAGAGTAAACAGTCATGGCGGACGAAGAGGATGCAGTGGCGATAGTGTGCAGTTTGTTGTTAACAGAGAAGACACGTAATCCAAAGAAAAGGCAATGGTCAAAGCCATGCTGCTGTGTTTTGGTTTTTTTCCGGTGTTTCCTCACCGGCTTGTCACCTCGTCTTCTTATTGGCTACACGCCGTAGTCATGGCAACGCGCTCGCTTGTCCTCGGAGGACACCACACACGACAAGAAATCGGGCCAAAACAATCCAACATGTTGGATATCCCCGATTTGAGATCGATGTCCTTCCGAGCAACGAGTGCAGTCTTAACACACCACACACGGCAGGATAATCTGTAAGATTTTGTTACGGAAATCGGAGCGTTTCTTAAGATCGTCGTAAGGGGTAAATCGGGTCTAAATCGGCCTAAATATCCTGCCGTGTGAACCAGGCTTTAGCTATAGTTCAGAATCCACGGTGCCGTCGAGGTTTACCAATCGAGTCATGCCAAGGGCTGTCAATCATCACGCTGATGCTCGTAGCAGCGCATGCTTAAGTACTTATGTATGTACTGAACCTATATCCATAATCATTTATATACTGAACCTATATCCATAATCATTTATACACTGACCTATATCCATAATCAGATTCTCTGCAGATGTGTCCTATTATGTGTATAATATCGGTCAGATTGGTGCGCGCGATATCGATAGCATGCAATGTTTTTTTCCTTTATTAAAGACAACAAAACAACACAGCAACATTCAACAAATACAACAAACAAACAAACAAACAAGTTTATAAACATATGCATTTGAATGTCATTAATGTTTTTGTTTTTTGTCTCTTGCGTTTCAATAAAGATTGCAATTTTAGATGAAAGAAAGAAATATCGCAATAATATCATTACCGCAATACGAAACACTCATATCGAATATCGCTCTAATTTCCAAAATCGTGCAGCCCTAATACTCAGTCTATTGTATCAAATAAATAGAGTCAGTCCTCAACCAAAATACATGTGTCTGTGCCCTTGCTGTGACCCCTACAAAATTACTTCAGGTTCTAATTCTAGATGTAACTTTGAGCTATTTCTACATTTCCTCACATCCTCTTCTACGTTTCCAGGGGCAACAGGTTAATTCCTATTGAATAGTAGGATATGGTCAGGAAGCACACCTGCAGGGAGTAGTCAAATAAACAACTTCTTGAATAGGAAATTGTTTAGAAATAACGCTACAATTTGCTATTTTGAGGTTAAATTGTAGCTCAAATCATAGATAAACACACTTCTTATGCAGCATGTGGGCATTTATATTCTCCAGGGTGGGGCCACATTTAACTTGGTAAAACACATTATAAAATCATATTTTCTCAATTCTAATGTTGAAATTCTCATGGAATATATGTTAATTGTTATATTTTGAATACGTTGTCTGATTAATATGTAAGGTTTCGCTGAATTGAACCGAAACTGATGAATGTTTTTAATGAGTTATTTACATTTTGGTTCTATTGTTTTTAGAAAAATAAATGATCTTGCCGTTTTTATCTGAAAATGTGTATAATAGAATGCGCACTGCTTTGTTTGATTGTTTGTTAGGAGGAAAAGAGGAGGATGAAGGAGGAGATTGAGAAGCGGAGAGCGGAGGCTGCAGAGAAGAGACAGAGGGTGGATGACACTGTGGACGGAGAAGACAAACCCTTCAAGTGTGTGAGCCCACGAGGATCCTCTCTCAAGGTAATAACACACTCAGCATCCACACACACTTCTGTCTCAAACTAATTCTAAACCAAATCAAATCAAATGTCAATTATAAAGTGCTTTACAGTTTTGTTGAATACCCTTTAACCACCACCCAACAAAAACAAATATATATTTAAACATACCACACACTTATATACACACCACAAACATCTAATGGGCAAAATAGATCAAACCAATAACTGATACAGGGCTACAACTTTATGAACCAACATCGAAGGTCTGCACAAGGAGCAGAGAGCCCCCTGCAGCCACAGTGGACAACGCAAGATCCATAGAGTAATAGAGAAAACTGAGGCTCCAAACCTAGGTCCAAGAGCCAGACCCCCATAGCTCAATCTAAACTTAATTTGAATATTAAAAGGGGTTATAGATTATATTATAGAGAACAGAATCAGGTTAAATCCCCTTTTTTTTCTATATACACATACATAATGTACACCCATGTTGAATCTGTTATTCTTGTATTTATCCAATTTCAGCAGGAATACTTAGAATTACGCTGTAGCTAAGTAGCCACTTGCCAATTGCACCCTTCATGGGAAACCTAGACTTTTCCAAAACACAGCGGGCTAAAATGTCTCGCTGACCGTTCATATGTTTTTGGAGATTGCCTGTGAGCTGATGTAAAACCTGCAGTTTTCCGTCTCTTTCCGACAAGGATTACTGTGGTCACCCATAAAAGTGAACCACCTAATTGTTTGGTCCAGTCAGATCTTTGATGTCATATTTTTGTGTGCACATATACTGAAACAGTACTAGTGTTATAGGCATACAATAAAATATACATTAGATTATATGTTTTAATAATATACAATCCAAACATTAAATGCCAAAGCAATTTGTATTCTTGTAATCATGTTTAGGACAAAAATATCACAATGAAACCCATAATAATAATAATGTGTCCTTCAAAATACCATTGTCAATCACGGTGCCAACTGCCAAGTCCTGGATGTTCTTGCTTTCTTTTTATCTTGAATGTCTTTAATCAACTCAAATGTGAATATATCCAGCAGTGCCAAAGTCTCCCACTGAAAAAATCTGCTCCGCCCAGCGTGGGGAGAGACGCTGATTAACCAGAGTTTAGCTGTGATTTTCTGTGTCCTGGACTCATTCGAAACAAATGTGTGCTTGATATGTAGTAATATTCTTAATTAATTAACTTTTTCACTTTGCTTTGCGCCTCATGGACACAGCTGTACTTTGTCATCATGTTTACTGTACGTATTCTGTGTGTGTGTTTGTGTGTGTGTGTGTGTGTGTGTGCGCATGCTTGCGTGTGGAATTGCATTTGTTTGCACGCTTGTGGTGTATAGTCATAGTAGGGTTTCAAGATTTTGGGTTGAAAAATCCCAATCCCATATTATTATACACATTATACCTCATATTTATGGCAGCTTCTTCATGCATATCCCATGACCGCTGTAATCTTCCAACTGAAAAAGACCTTGCCATTTAGTGCCAGTAATCCTCTATTTTAAAACCGTCCCCGCAGCTAAAACCTACATTTATCACCAGCAACCCAGCAGAACACTCCACATATGACAGATAACAGGCAGGAAAAGCCATTAGTGTTAACAGGATTAGGGAAAAGTGTGTTCGGGTGGCTACAGCTTTAAAACCTGCTTCAGAATGGGGAATTTCCTGTTCAAGCTATTTAGGAAACTCCCACATTCAGTAGCCCAACTTTACAGCCAGTCGGAGAGCTGTTTTTACTGCCACACTTTCTTCTTTTGACTGTTTATTTATGATTTATAGGCATGTCCTGTCAGCCAGTAATGTCGTATATCATAAAATCCCACAGTGAGAAACAGGGTCTGAAAAGTAAGTGGTTCTACTTTAGTGCAGGACAGGGATAGCCAGCAAAGTTGCAGTTTGTAGATGAGTTATTGCCCATTCAGTCTCGTGCATTGCTTTCGACTTTCAAAGATTAATGATGTTGTTATAAACAAAATGTGTAAGAAAATAAACAAGATATGTTTTTAAGTAAAACATACAGAGTGATCTACTGTACATTGAATTTTACAAGAATCTTTCCGTTGGGACATACACGATTTTATATTTATAAAGTATATAAAGTCAGGAACCCAACTTTGATAGTTTTGTTTTATTGTATACAAACCTAATCCAACATAAAAAGTACTTCCAAGGTATGTTTCTCTTGCTGTATTCAAATAGTTTTTAACTGTAACTATTAAAATACAAAACTGTTTGTATTTTAAACATTTTAAATTTACAAAATATAATTCTACAATAAATTGATACTGTTTGTGTTAGTGTGCTATTCTGCAAGCAAACACGTTAATTCCTAACTAGTTCATGATTATTTCCCTGTTAATGTTTTTATACCAGATAAAAAACATGAACTAAAATAGAAAATCAAATTGATTAAAATGCACAAACCCCTTGCACATATTAAAGTAGCGATATGTAAGATTTGCATGTCAAGTCATCATCAAATGGCCCTAATATGTCCTAAGGCATTAACAAACAATAGCTTTATAACAGTAGTTTAGCCGAGATATTGAATTTCAAAAATGCCCCTAAATTATTTAGATGTTCCGGCCTTCACCGTTTCCGGGTTGCCAGAATTCACTGCGTCCAGCTAATCTCACTGGTAAAGTGACATGTGGCAGTTGTACTAAAAAGATCTCGTTATGATTCTCAAATCATTAACGACAAAACAAGGACTAAAATGAGGATTTCTATTTGGTTGTAGAACTATTGTTGACAAAATGTTTCATATTATGTTCCCAGCTGAATTCGTCTGCATATCTGGCAACCTGAGTCAGGGAGAGTGGGAGAGGTTGCTGTATCACTTTTGGCAAGATATTTACTGCTCCTTTAAATTAAATATTTTTTAATATATACTTTTATTGAGCTTTCAACAATGTTACAACATTGTTTCTCGTCAAAAAAAGAGTTGTTTTTTGATTTATCCACACTAATATCAGGAACTTCTGGAACCAATGTGTATCTCCGCCCTCTCTGTTTAAAAGTTCCTGTTGCTGTTATTATTATCATAAGATGTTATTACATTACAAGTAAAACAAAAGCATCGCCCCTAAGTTTGTTTTCTCAGAAATTACTTTCTTTACAGCGGGGGTGACAGTGGCACAGTTGGTGGAGCTAAGGCCTTTGAGCCCGACTCCCACTGATGTCTGCCGTCGTTGTGTCCATGGGCAAGACACTTAACCCCACTTTGCCACCTGCAGGAGGATAAGTGAGGGGCTGGTGCTCCGTGAATTGTGTGGCAGCTGATTGCCACCCCACTGACCCACAATCAGACTAATGAGTGCGTTTACAAATCACTGGTGAAAATCAAATTCTGCACCTACTCCAGTTTAATTAGATTGGTAAAACTGCATGTAAACCAGCGCACACACCGACTGAGGTGTGGAGAAACATTCCAAGGTGCTGGTGCGCACAGATTCTAATGCGGTTAAGCTCACAATTGGACTGGAATGAGACATTGGGCAGTGATGCATTTTAGGAAAATGTTAAAAGCCAATTTGGACCCCGTCATTTTGCAATACACAGTCCCTCACTGCACATGTTAGGTTGTTTTAATTAAAATACAAAACTTGACAGAAATCAAGGTGCTTTTAAGAGCAATGCAGAAACTCGATGATTTATGCTGTAGCTGCTCAGCATGTGTTGTGATCTTATTTGCCAATAGTGTGCTTATTTGTAAATTATATTTACAACTACCAACTCTGAGTAAAAAAGGGAAGGTTACAGGATACCTATGAAAGCATTCTCAGGTCTGGTGTCTTGACCAAATGGAGTGCTGTTTCAGAAAATACTCCATATTCTTATGCTTTGAACACAGTAATCAAAAGAGCAGTGGACAATTAAAACAAAACAAATTCAAATCCTCCCTCTGGTGGTATTAAAAGGATATCGCAGGCAAACTGTTGATACTTGTTTTACAATATATTTTCAACTGAACATATAATTTCACATTTCACTCACAAGTAAACTGTCTCCTTATACTAGTTAATGGACAAAAAAAATTAATATAATTTTGTCTTTAACCTTAATCTTTTCTGAATCCCTGGTCCTTTGAACAATCTCAGAGTAGACTCAAAGTTTTATAGACTAAAAGTCTATAAAACTTCAGCCTCCATTAGAAGCCACACCAGTCACTAAAGCCCAGGTGTGTGGGTGTAGTGTGTAGTTTATGGTATGATTGTCGGATGATTTCACATTTGTGCAAAATTAACTTAAGACAGAAGCAGATTGTTGTGTTGTAGAGTCTCAAACAATAAAGCGGGAACATTAAGAGAGTGGCTGTGTGGACCATCTGTCTGAGTGGAGTGGAAGAGCGCCTGCTGTTACAATCCTATGTGTGTGTGTGTGTGTGTACAAATGCTAGAATATTTATCAGTTTTCTTGTCCACAGATCGGAGAGAGGGCAGAGTTCCTCAATAAGTCGGCACAAAAAAGGTACATAATAGAAACGTATGGCCTGCTGCAGCTACAGTATCACTTTGGAACAACTAAAACAAATGGGCAAAAACTTCTACTTCCTACTTTGTATGCTTTATTCCACAGTCTTCTAGTCTAGTATAGGGCTGTTACTTATGGAAAAATATCTAATTGGGATATTTATGACCAACATTGTGATCTCTATGTTTAAAAAGTCTCATTTTTCAAGCTTGAAAAAAACAAAACAAATTAAATTCCTCCCTCTGGCAGCACAGGGAGTTACAGGCAGAAAGCATGTTTTGCCTTCATAACATTTGTATTTCCATTTATGATATTAATTCACATTGTAACCCATAACATGACAGATTAAATAGTCGCATTATCATGTTTAATGGCCAAAGGTAATGCATAATGTGTATTCTTTAAACCTATCCCATTTGCTGTTTTCATACGTGTGTCTTTTTCTCACAGTTCAGTGAAGACGTCTCACTCTCCCATGGTGTCAAAGATCGACAACAGGCTGGAGCAGTACACCTCGGCCGCTCAGGTGAAAAACAGCATTTTACCGCCCACTGTGTGTCTGAGGAAGCTGTGGGAATATGCTTTTTGTGATGTGTTCATGGAATACTAATATGATGCTATACTAATTCATTTGACATAATAAGAATGCTATCCAAAATACATCAGAATAAAAGTAATCGTCTTAAGAAGATGTTTCAGTGTGTGTGTGAAGTGTCTTAGTTAAAGCTGAGGTACGTCATTTTCAACCCAAATTACATCTATCTAACTAGTTTCCTAATATATTAACTCTTCAATGTTTTACTTTTACAAAACTTTTTCTGTAAGGACAAACATTGTATTATCTCTGGAAAAAAAATATAGTCTTGGGACCCCAGCTTTAAGGACTTTAAGTTTGAGTAACGACTGAACCATTTCTGTTCCAAATCAGAGTTAGCAAAAATAAACTTTGGAACAAGCTATAGTTTAGTTTGAATGTCACTCATCAAAGCAGATTATACATAAAGCTAATTCCCTTTGAAGACGCATCACAGACAGACTAGAATCTGTCACTGTTATTAGTTGCCAGTCCATGGGATTTCTTCAAACGTCTTGGCTTTGATCACGCCTGCAGAGTCGGAGTAAGATTGTCCTTTCTTTTCTCTGTGACGTTTAGAGAGAGATACGGGAGTCTCGATCTCCTCGCTCTGGAGCTGTGGACCTGCCCCTCGTCACTGACATCAAGAACATCAAGAGCATGTGGGAAAAGGGCAATGTGTTCAGCTCCCCTGGAGGAGGAAGCACTTTCAAGGTAAATGCAGTGATTCTAGTGAAAGTATGAGGTGTTATTCTGGCGGGATGGGATTGGACCTGTTGTATGTCCATGTAGCACCAGCACAAGCATTCAGACTAAAATTTGTGTTGGAGTTGAAAAATATGTCCTGGTAACCATGGAAACTGAGAAAATATAACAGTCCCCAAGTTCCACATATTCTTGTATTGTGTTTAGAAGTGGTGACATTATTCAAAAACTTGTTGGCCAGAAAAAAGTACTCTCAGATATAAGAATGGTATGGCAGGCTTGTGAATCTAATGACTATCAAATTATAATTTGGTAAACTTGCTTTTTTTCCAATACAAAACCATCCTCCAACAGAAGTAGAATTCTAGAACATGAGCACAACCTAATGGATGTTATGTTAAACATTGAACTCAAAACATAATTAATCATAATAATTGGGCTATTAGTCTGCAATATAACATGTATAACACAATCCTTGTGTTCAGTCCAAGCAGAATCAGAATTAGTGCAACAGTCAGAAAGAGATAATACAAAATAAAGAATAAAAAAAACTTCTAAGGAATAAATTTAAAATAGAGTTACAGTTACTATTTACAATATACAAGTGCACATGGTGCACACAATGTAAGGTGACAGCAGTACAGTGAAGTAAAGTGACGTATGATGGGCAGTAAAGTGACTTTATAAAGGGCGGGGGGCAATGGCTGCAGATGCAAAAGATTTTAGAAAAGAAAAAAATGTCGACCAGTAATACTACTGATACCATGGTATAACTTGGTCTGTAAAAGGTCCCGACCAAAAGTTGTTTTCCCCCAAACAACAGGGGTATTTGCTACCTGACTCCCGAACACTTAAAACTTCTTCTTCTCAGTATGGAGAAATAAATATATCTCAATAATTGTCTCGATATATAACAATATTTTTACAGGATAAATAACCCCTCAAAAACTGCAAATACAAACATGCTTTTTTTTTTTTTTTTTTTTTTTTCAAAAAATTGCTTCTATCACATTTGTTATAATTTCCTGTAAACAAAAATAATGTTTAACCGTGAAAAAAATTAAGAAATTATACATATGCCTTTTCTTTATTAAAGAAAATAAACCGACTCAACTCAATGTGCATATAGGAACAGTGCTGTGGATATAGGAACAGTGCTGTGGATATAGGAACAGTGCTGTGGATATAGGAACAGTGCTGTGGATATAGGAACATCCATCCATCCATCCATTTTCTTCCCCTTAATCCATTTCTGGGTCGGGGGGGTGGCAGTCAGAGCTGCACCCAGTACACAGAGCACCAGCCCCTCACTGATCCTCCTGCAGGTGGTGAGTCCACAGGAGCTGAGATCTTTCAGTGGGAGCTTCAGGCAAAGTGGGGTTAAGTGTCTTGCCCAAGGACACAACGACAGCAGTCATCAGTGGGAGTCGTGAAGTAGGTCTTATGGTGGGCTTGAACCCACGACCTTCAGGCCCAAAGGCCAATGCTCTACCAACTGAGCTACTGTCGCCCCTGGTGCTGTGGATATAGGAACAGTGCTGTGGATATAGGAACAGTGCTGTGGATATAGGAACAGTGCTGTGGATATAGGAACAGTGCTGTGGATATAGGAACAGTGCTGTGGATATAGGAACAGTGCTGTGGATATAGGAACAGTGCTGTGGATATAGGAACAAAGTTCCTCAGCAACATTTAAGATTAAAAAACCCTGTTTACAATAATAGTTAATTGACTTGTTCAATTTCGGCCGCAGGAATTCTTGTATTTCAAAGTAATGTCTGAACTTGGTCATCTGTTTTGTTCTTAGCTGTGTATAAAGTTTACAGTCTCTGGTATAAAGCCTCGTGGTTCAATGATGTCAAAAGGTGTCGTGTCCGCCGCTGTATGACACATCACGGACTTTGACGCTACACCACACACACGTTTTTAGACAAGTTTGCTTCCTCCAAGAATCTTTTGCATCTTTGCTGGTAGCTTAGCATCACATATACATACAACAAATGATATACAAATATTCAATATCTATGTACATTAACATCCTCCTGCCGATGGACTACAGGTGTAAATGAGCAGTTCTGATAAATGGCATCTTTCCTTTGTTTCTCGATAAAGCCTGTCCTGTTCAAATACAGACATACCGTACCATGTTTGAACCCATTCACACCTGCTATATGCACTGTATTCATAACTCATGGCGCGGCGCAGCGTGTATCTCCCGCTCCGCACATAAACACACTTACAGAGGAAAGCGGATGACTCTCCGCCGTTTCCTGCCTGAGCGGGTTGCCAGGGACAACAGGGGCTATAGCTGATCTCTGACCTTATCCAAACAGGAAGCAGCTGTGATGAAGACAGGCGTGGCGGGCCGCATCAACGACTGGCTCAACAAAACCCCGGAGGGCGGCAAAACGGCGGGAGGGAGGCCCACAGTAAGACCTGATGGCACGCACAATCATGAACGCGCATATGCACATACACGCACACACAACTTCGGTATATGTACACACAGTACACACACACACTATATATATGTATGAAATCTGCCTACATGCATATTCAGCCCCACGGTGAGGCTCTACCCCTGTACGCAACGTCGCTGGAAATGCGTTTTCAATAAAGGAAATTAGTATAGTACGTATGTTTTTTTTAAATGTATTGAAATAAAAAGTAGGTCCAATAAAATCCCTTTCTTCTCAATTGAATCATTTATGTGGATTACTTTCTCTTATCACTTAAATACCTCATGAAGCCCAAGTTATGCATCGCCATTCAGCTGTCTGCATTCACACATATCCTACCTAGAAGATGACCATATAAGGATATTTTCACAGACATTTATAGAATCATCTAGAGTAATAACTGCTGTAATGTTTTTGCTTGTTTTGTAAATGGCTGCAATCAGGGAGAAACACATTCTTCTTTATCTGCATGTTTTGTGTGATGCTATCTCAGTGGCCCCATCTACTGCTCTCTTTCCAGCGCGTTTCCATAACATGCCATCAACCACTCATGAAGTGATGGGCTATAATTGCAGTTTCGGCATCTGTTTGGTGGGAAAATGTGTCTTTCGCGTAAAAAAAAAAAAAATCATAATATGTGCTCAAGGGTGTTTTCGGCGCTTTTAAGCTTGGACACCTGCCAAAGTGACATGCCGGATTAAACTATACCTATATTTTCACCCAAGCAAATGTTTATGTGAAAGCTTTCCAGGCATAGGCGTGCAAACTACTCTCTGTAATGTTTTTCAACTACAGTTAATGGTTCCTGTCTAGAATCCAAAAGGGAGAAACCATGCATCATAAATTGTTGCTATTTTTCTGCTTAACAATATGATTAAGGCCATTAATTTTGAGTCCCGAGTATCTGAAAAGTGTATTACCTTGCAGTGGAGCTTATGATGAGAGTAGTATTTTCCACTTGAGCCAGACAAGCCGCTCACTCCACTTACAGCTATTGTCATTGCCTTTCACTGTGTCTACAAGAGTCAACAAAACATTTTCAAATGAAATAAATTTCGCTCACTTTGAACATTGCCATGCAAATACACTGAGCTTTATATCAACAGGACCTGAAGCCGGTCGATGTCACAAACAAGAGGAGTTTATGGGAAAACAAATCCTCTCCAGCCAAGGTAATAATACGTTTAATAATATTTAAAAATTTAATCAGAATAATATCACTTGGTCCATAGTATATGTAAACTTTTAGGTATAAGTAGAATTAGCAGCGGCAAAAGAATATTATGTCTTTGGACTGAAAGCTGCATCACTGCGTGCCTCACGAGATGAAAAAATGCCTGGATTGTTTTTTTTGGGACGTTGAGCGGCTAGCATACCCCAGGCTAGTTGAGTGTGCATACCCCAGGCTAGTGGGGTGTGCATACCCCAGGCTTCTAGAAGGAGCGCTAATCTGTAATCAGCCCCGTGACCCCGTACACGGTCAGCTGCTCAAACCTTTCTGCTTCAAAAGACGCACGCGGTGAGTAGGGGACGTAATAGTAGCAGTAGTCGTTGTGGCTGTTGTAAATGGCTTTCAACTCTACTCTTAAATTCTCACTGCACCTTCTAGATTTTATTGGGATGTTATGACAGATTTAGAAGCTGGTTTAATTAGATGACCATTCCAATGAAGGGATTGTGGGAATATTACCTTCAATAGTAATTATACTGACCAACTATTACTGCTTCTCAAAGTAATCATTCCACTGTTCAACACCATCCATCTACAAACATTTCTCTTGTGTACATCCTTAAGAGGATAATGGAAGTGGTTTTACCTGGTCCAAGTCCAGGTAACTTTTTCCAGTCAGGGGGTTTGCGGTCTAGTCCCTGCTGTCAATCACACGTTAATGTTCCCCATAGAGCCGCAGACAGAATAACATTGTATCATTTTCTTTGTTTGTCTTTTAAAGAACGTGTAGCTAGTTGACATCAAATCTGGAAAAAGAGAGGTAAAAATGCTATGTTTCAAAAATAAGTGTGCTTTGGCTTGATTTTTTGTGTTATTATTAAAGGTCCCATACTTAGCTATTTTTCATGTTTCACAGTTGATCCTAAGCACATGTGTGGTGATAATGGGAGTGATACATAGAACAACACTGACAAATTATAGAATGTCTTGCTTAGAGTTTATGTCACCTCAATTGAAATAAGTGAATCTGCTTCAATACCTTGGCATCAAAAAAGCATTATATGGGACCTTTAATATTGGATTATTTTGAATTCATGGGCATTTAGGATATATATGATTTGAAATCAACAATTCAAAGTGGTTAAAATTGTTCTAATTATTAAGACGAAAGATAACATATCATGTTAAATAAAATGTACGGATTCAAATAAGGTTACATAATTTTTCTCTCTTCCAAAACAGTCTTAGGGTTGTTTTTATATCCATCCATGCTAATATAAGGAACTTATATCAGCATAAACATGTAACTCCACACCTTCTATCTAATAGCTCCTGTTTCAGTCCTGTCTCAGTCCTGTAGTATGCTCAGAGCAGTGTTTTGCTTTTTAAAACTTAAGTAATGCCCATGAATTCATAAATAAGTTCATTTCAATCTTTACAATGCACAGCTGTGTTTGTATAGCCTGACTCTCGCCAGACCCTTGTAGTTCCGCTATGCTCCACCAGAGGTGTTTAGCTGAACACAAGGGTCTGGGATCGACGTCAATTCAAGCTCCTTCAGGAGATCAAAAAATAATCAGCCAATCAGGATCGCCAGTGTTACGTTGGGTTTGCACCGCCTTCTCGTGCGTGTCTCACGGCAGCCTAAGCAAACCAAGATGGTGGACATAAAGTCAGTGAATTTTTTTTATTGTTTGAATACAAACAAATTAAGACACAGATGTCACTTTTAATGCAATTTAAGGCGAGATGTTGATGGTTCCATGTTGTTATATGTGTGTTTTAAGAGGAAAATGTTTGTGTAAAGTTTGGTTTAAGTACTGGTTTAAGTGTTCCTGTCACAACCATAGACTGTATATATTAACGGACGTAGTCACGCCTATCTCCGCCGTTCTAACTAATGGGCCAAAAATTGGGCTGTACTGAAGTGATTCAAAATGGCCGCGTGGGGCTGGAAAATGTGAAAAAACGCATCTGCGCATCTGTCAGCCTGCACGAGCCCCATTCATTTAAACGAGTGACTTCAAAAATTCACAGCGAGTAAACTAGACTGGTCCAAAAAAAATCACTCCCCTCAGCATTGACACACATGTGGAACAAAGCTTTGGGCCAAGAGCCAACTTTTGGACCATCCTGTAAAGACGTTTTTGAGAGGTAAGAAGATGCTATATGTTAGCATTGAATAATTCTTACTCCGAGTCCACCCCAAGCCCCGACGATCCAAGATGGCGCCGTATTCAAATGACTGGTTTGTGCTCAGTTGTGCCGGCATTGGGGCTGAAAGATTAGCGGAACTCCGCCTGGAACTCGCAAAGATCTATGGGAAACTCGCCTGTATTTGGGCATCGTCTGGTCCTCCCGGTTCTGCGCAGTGGATGATCTCCCATGATGCGTTGCGCGAAATATGCGTGTGTGGCTGTCACGCACGTGCACAGAGGGGCTCGGCCGCGCTCTGACCAATCAGAACAGCTCATCCGAGCGGGAGTTAGAGCGAGAGCCAGACGGGCAGAGTTTGTGGCAGTTAAGTGTGGATTTAAAAAAAAAGATTTAAGAAGAAAAAAGTTCAGGATAACAAGGGACACTAAAATCCCCACAAAATCCGACCTTTATGAAAGCTGTAGGTTCTCTGTCAGCTGAGTTTTAGTTTACATTGAGTTCTATGGGGAACATTTCTGGGTAGCCCACGTGAATTTAGTCTGGTTTAAGCCTAGCGTACATCGGACTGGCAACTGATTATATCCATCGCATATGAGTTGCTGCCCCGCACACATCGACAATCTGACGAAAACGGGCAACTCCCAGTCGCAGACCAGTCTCGGGAATAACAGCGCGTACATCGACAGCAACTGGCCTCAACTACAGTGTGTTTTCTGACATAAACTGTTGCGCGCTCGCAATACACGCAATACACACAGGTTGTCGGAGCGGCGCATAGAGCGCGCACATCGGGTCATATCTCCGAAACTGAGGACAATTAGTTGCCGAAAAGTAGAACACGGGCAACTGACTGAAACTGGAGACCGACTGTTTATCTCCAGTTGTAAGAGCGCGCACATCGACCGATTTCGGCAACTGATCATCTCCCACCATCTCCTCTCAGTTGCCAAAAGCCGCCTTGCAACTAGTTGTCCCCAGTTTCTCTGTCGATGTACGCTAGGCTTTAAGTGGTGCAGTACCGCGAGAATCCCCCGAGCACATGGGTTATTCAGCTCCAAGCTAGTAATACACTATCCAGTATTGGCCCGGGGTGGTATTGCAGCATGTCAGCGCACGTCATTTTGGCCACTTTTGAGCTGGGACCCGCCCCCACTGGTCACAACACTACGCAGCAGGGTTGCCAGGTTGGGTGGTTTCCCGCATACTTTTGCTCCAAGCGACTTGTAGGTGATAAATAGACAGAAAGACAATAAACAGAATCATGATAGCCCAAGTTGATTGCATTACGTTTTTAGCCAAAAAATAACTGGGTCTTATTTTTGGGGAATTTACGCAAGTTTTGGGCTGGAAAATCTTAGCGACATTTGGCAACCCTGCAACACAGTGAGGAGTCGTCGATGTGGGTGGTTGAAGGAACACGTCATTCAAGATCACAGACAAGGGGTTCATCCAATCACATTCAAGGATGTTTGCACAAGGCCCCGCCTTCTGAAATGTATCCGCTATGACGCAGACCCAGACCCTTGTGTGAAGCTCAACAAACTACAAGGGTCTGGCGAGAGTCAGGCTCGTGTTTGTAGCCGCAAATTGTGGAAAACAAAATCAACAAATCCTTCTGGCCTTTGCAAACGGAGTTACAGGTTAAGAATGTGAAATAATAATATCTTAATAAATGATGAAACAAGGATGATAAGTAAAAAATTGTCTCATATTATGGTCAAATATAATAGATTGTATGTTTTGTTTAATTTATTCAAGATTTTAAAAAATGGATGTGCCTGATAGAATTCAAGCTGTAATTTATAACTAATAGAAAAGAATCCCAAATTTAATTTCAATTTAAAAAAAGAAAATACATGTAGTAAGTTTTGTGATGGGAAATGTATGTTTGTCTTTCAGCTTGCTTTTCCCGCAGAGCTGCTTCAGTTGGACATCAAAGATTATCGTTTAACAATATAAAGAAGTACAAGTACTTTCATGCCTGGCATAGAATTCTTCTTTTTTTTGCTTAAATTGGGCAAGGGACTGAAGTCCTTTTTTGCAGTATAGCTTGTTCTTGTATGCAGCAGTTGAATGCAATGCTTTATAACAATTTCAAACACATTCATGTTGTAATTTCTTTCTACAGTTTTGGGTTAATTAATTCCTCACTGTAGAAGTAGCAGTATTTTCCTAACTGAAACTTAAAGCTGGAGTTCCAACATTTCAACATACAAAAAGAAAAGCTGTTTTTCTCATGAAAGTATTTTTTAGCTTCTGTCACATCTTTAGATCATCTTTTGCAGAAAGAAAAGATATGTCCACCCTCACTCAGCCAATCAGCAGTCTGCCCATAGCATTAGTGAATATATATAAATAAGGAATATGGAATTAACCAGACCATAACATGCAGTTTTGATCTTCTTACAATCCAAAAATAATATTTACAAAGTAAAAACATGTTGTTACCCCAGCTTTAATAAGTCAGAACCTCTTATCTTAAAATAAACTCCTCTAGCTCAGTAATCGTTTGTGTCACACTCGCCATTTTGGCCTTAAATCTGTGGGTTATCTATCTCTGTAAATATGGTGTTTATATTTTTTTACATTGTTTTTGGAAATCCAGATTAGACCCACATAAGGATTGACCAATCAGATGCCTTCATTTGCAACTGAAACTCCAGCTTGCCTTTGCAACTATCTTAGCAACAGTGGCGCAAAGCTATTGCAGTAATCACAAATGCCTATATATGGAAATTGGCTCCAACTAGCTAATATTCAAATCAGCTTCATCCACATTCAGCAAAGCATATGGTGACATCAGCACTCGGTTAGTCCACTCCTAATATACTGTCTATGGTCTGGACTTTTCAAACAGAGCTAATGGAAGAGCGACAGTAAGCTTCACTGCAGGATGTTTTGGCACACTTACTTTGAATATCCCCCATTAACCCCTCACACCTCCAGGCAGCACTTGCCTTGTTTTTGAAGAAAAAAGTTGCAAAAGGGCCTTATTTGTGATCATAGAAGTAGTAGCGGTGTGACAGTGGTTTATTAGAGAGTCCAAATCAAAGCACCTAATACTTACAACTACCTGAACCTTGATTTTGATTATACTGGTGCATTAAATAAAAGAACTATTTGAATACCAATGATATGTTATATGTTCTATTATACACAGAATTTATTTTTCTTCACTTTTGCAAAGTGATATATCCTAAACCTTGGTTTGTTATTTTTTTGATGATTATGGCTTATATTCCATTTTTAATATATTTCATGGATTTTTCAGAAGCAACAATTCAACATTGTCACTTATATTTATGACTTATTAAAGATGCATTTTCCTCCGATGGTGACATGATCCAAAACATTTCTCAAGATGTGGTTTGTTTTACAGTGAGAACAGCTTTTCCTCTCCACATATAAATGTAACTTAGCTGAGTGAAGCCACATGCTTGCTTCTAGTGTAAAAGGAAAGCTTACTGACCTAACAACAAAAAGCAAATTTTATTAAAAAACAAGGGGAAAATAAGATTATTTCATCTTTTCAAAACCAACAACTGAATTATATACATTTTGCAATAATTATTATACAGTGTCTGTTTCTTCTTTCTGTTAAAGGTTACTAATGCAGTCATGTTCTTACAGGCTGGCAGAGGGGAGAGCAAGTCGGTTGCCAACGGTAAGTTCCATAACCTCTGGTACTCTGGGTCCAGGGCTAGAGAGACATGTGGTCCATGGAAGGAGCATCATTTCATTCAATTCAAGGCTGTTGGCTGGTCCTGGCATTTGTCATTTTAATTATATATCTCTAGGGCATGTTTTCCCTCTATACATTTATTCACAAGGTGATCCTTTCCATAGTTTGAGGAGAAATGTTCTTGACAACACCTATTGACAAGTTTATTATAGTTAAATATAATTGACTGTAGCTAGCTACTAGCTATATGTTCGGCTAATAGTGGCTGTCTTCTAAAGTCACAGCGTGAGTACACAGAATCAGAGGGAATCACATTGGACTTAGGCCCCGTTTATACGGAGACAATGCAGCAGTAAAACGCTATAGTTGGATGTCGGTTGCTACCCCCCGTTCATACGGAGACTGTGTTCCAGGGGGGTGAAAACTTAAGTGTTCAGATCCAGCCTGCAGAGTGGGACGGCTCAGATACGCTGCTCAGCAGGGCACTTTTTCACACCCGTATAAGGGAAAAAGGTGTGAATTCTCTGCTGCTGCTCTGACCCCCACCTCCCCGCTGCTCCCCACACGTAAATTTGGACATGTGCAGTAGCCGAGAACAAACGTAAACAACAATGGCGGCGGTCACACTAACTCGCTTCGTGGGCTTCGAGCGCTACACAGAGGAGGATTGTACACCTTCGTTCGTCCAAACGAAACCATGCGAAGCTCTAGTTTCAGATTCCATTTTCGCAGCTGCTTTTAAAATGCAGAATGATGTTGGTGCATTTGTCCACGTCTTGCAGAGGAAGTGAATATACTGCTGGGGGAGGGGCTGGGGCTTGCATGTGTCGTGTTGTAAAGTTCCTCTGCCCACTACTGGCCGCTAGAACTACGGCGGCACGGTGGCTGAGTGGACAGCACTCCCACCTCTCAGCAAGAAGGTCCTGGGTTCGAATCCCGGTCGGAACGGGGTCTTTCTGAGTGGAGTTTGCATGTTCTCCCCGTGCTTGCTCCGGGTACTCCGGTTTCCCCTACCACTAAAAACATGCACAGTAGGTTAAATCCTCCAGCTCCGGTAGTCTTGACCAAGCCGAGCATCAACATCTGGAGATGGGATCCCGGGCGCTGTACTACGGCAACCACTGCTCCTGACGTAAGCCTTAGTGGCTTCAGGATGGGTCAAATGCAGAGGACTGAATTGCCCTACGGGGATCAATAAAGTGCACCTTTACCGACATAGTTTTTGATCCTCGTATGAACGCTGTGAAATTTGTGAAATTTGCATAAGGAGCCTGGTCGTTTCTTTTAATAGCTTGGCATCGTCTGCACAGCACCTCCGTATAAACGGGGCCAAAGGCAAATCATTTTACTTTTGCATGTGCTGCTCTTTCCTTTATAAAGCTGTCTAAGTAAAGAAAAACTCTCCTAGAAGATGATAAGCCAATTATAATGCGATTCCCTGGGGTCCTGGGTGCACTGTGCTGCAAGAAAAGCAGGTGGTGAAAAGCAAACAACATGTTAACCTTTCCCACTGTTGTCCCAGATTGACACGCCATTTCAACACCGGTCTGCAGTGTTGAAAATGCCTTTTACATTCCCAACATCCCATTGCCTACAAAAACCACTTATCTCCTGAAACCGTCTATAGATAGATGCCAAAATGATTGACATTAATTAACTCTATTTGTGTCGATCAACTGGACTTTTCCATATTATTTGCTGTTTACTTCTGGTTTTCCTTATATATTTTTGAGTCTGGAGCAGGCAAGGGGGCATTTCAGAGTTCATGGGTTGGCAGTAGAAAATAACTCGAGGCGGTAACTGGTGGTCTAATTAGACTCTGAGCCAGACTAGTGCTTCCTCAGCCGTGGAGGAGAGTTGCGTTCATTAGCAAAGGTAAAAATGGAAATGATGAGCAGTGAAACTTCCCGCACCATATGGCCATCGCCACATTAATAACATGCCTTTTTAATTTGTTTGCAGCAGTAGGTGGATGTCATTTGCACTTTTAAAATAATATTAGTACTGCAGTGAACATATCATGCACCATTGATTGCTACAGACTTGTTACAATACAGTATGAGCCATAATTGAAAATGTATGTCTTGTTATTTGATTCATATTTACAATTGACTGCTTGGATTGTTCAGCATGTATTGGTGAAATAGACACTATTTCTATTATCATTATAGCATTGTGAAAAAGACTCAGCAATCTTGCATTATTGGTCAGGACCAGTTCTTGGAATATAATCCACTAGAAATGTATGGAATGAGTGTAGCTGCAGGGTTGTGTTTGTTCAGTGATTATTCTACTGGCTAAGAAAACTTCTTAAAGTGAATGTCAGTTACTTTTCAATGTGAGCAGAGAGTAAGATGTAAAACTCGATCTCCAGTTAGACCTACCCCCACAGCCTTTCCATCATTGAAACCATTCTCCTCTAGCAAATGTTATTGGTCAGGGTTATTTGAAAAGGAGAGACTATTTAGAGAAAAGTATTTAACGTACTTAATAGTACAGGGTCATTTGATGAAAATATACATTCTTTTAAAATTCAAATTCAAATTGAAGCCGCAAGCGGTGTCAAACGGCCCTTGCCAAATTACGCTACACCGCACCATGCAAAGGAGGGCCCACTGTTGCCCCATCTGCATACAGATGATGGGAGAAACACTAATAGTGTGGTCGCCTCTATAAATACAATTGGTTGATTGATTGATTGATTGATTGATTCAACAGCAGCTGTGAAAATGTAAACTGAAACTAGATCTTTGCGTGGTTTCGTTTGAACAAAGAAGTAGAATTTTCCTCTGTGTAGCGCTCACAGCATACATTGCTTGTTAGTGTATCCGCCGCCAAACCGAAACCCAACTCTACCGTTTTACTGTTGGAGCATCTTTGGCTAAATGAGGCCTAAAACAACCTGCTCCAGTCAGGGTTACTCCTAAACCGGTCTGACCACTCTGTTTCCAATCTATGCAGACACTTTATACAATTGAGCACAAGGGCTTTCAAAGGCATCTTGTAACTTCTGCTAATTACAAACATTTTAGAACTGCTGTCAGTTATGCTCTTAGCGGTAAAAGTTGCGCTTTATTTTTCTTTCAACAAAATCAACATATCAATAAAAGGACAGAATCATAAAGTTGTTACCTTTAGACCCTTTAGGCTGCTGCTTCTTTGTGCTTGTCAGTAGTTATTTAGTTTGAACTGATATTTGATTTGATAAGTTTACTGAAGTTTGGGCAGGATGTTTCAAATTCGTTCAAGTACAAGCACTCAAGTCGCCAAAATCTTCCTGCTAATCATCCGCCGCTCCTCTCCAGGATCCGCTCAGAGTCAGCTTCATACTTTTAAATGAGATTTTAGACCTGCCTCCTCCTCTGGTCCCAGTGGAGCGTGAATATGAGTGAAGTGAGCCTTGAAGAGAGCTGCATATGTCCCAATCATATATATCAGCCTGCCCATACTGTACCAATTTGGCCTCAATAAACCCACTGCGGCCATTTGAACACTTTTCAAATATTGGAATTTTTCCGGCGGTGTGCACATGGTCGTCCGCCTGTTACTTGTCAGTCTGGGGCCCAGAGCAGTCAGACTGCTTTGTCACGCTAATAGTGGAGTGTTGTAGGAGATTAGTATTACACCAGTGACTGACTCGCTGGAGGCAAAAGCTGTTGGGGTTTTGGGAGTGCCAACAATAGGATCATATTTGGGGAAATTTTGCCTCATAAATCCTACAAGATGGAGGCAAATGAGGTGTGCTGTGTACGTGTGTGCAAGCATGCGTGTAGGTGAGACTTATTGTGTATTTGGTTATTTAATTTGCAATGGTTGGTGGTGGTTGGAGTGAGTGAATGCACAGATGCTTCTGTCAGTCTGCCTCAAGGCAGCTGTGGCTATAGTAGTAGTTTATCACCACATTGTATGAAGTGAATGAATATTGTCATGTGAAAACGCACTCATTATTATTATCATTATTTTACATATTAATATGTCTTTCTTTCTCCAGGAATGGGACACTAATGTGTGGAAGGAGCTCTGGGAACCTCGACAATCCAAGACTCTTCCTTTGAATCCAAAGCAGAAATTGTCCCCATCCCAGAGTGGGACATGTCCCAGCACTGTCCAACAGCTGCCACAAAATGTGCCTCTACATCAGAATTCATTCTTAGAATGAAAAAGAAATGAATGGTGTTAAATTTGGACTTTTGTAAAAAGAAATCCTGCCAGGAATAAAAGTAATAATGTAGTCATAGTCCTCACAGACACACAGCAGAATTAAAGGCTTTAATGTCTTTATGAAGAAATGAGAAGTCTTCCCTCTAGACCATCCATCTCTGATTTATTTATATTTAAAGCAGATGCTTCACACATTGCTTTGTATTCCGTGTTCACCATTTCAGGATAGAAATGTAAGCACTTCTAGAGTTTAGCAGAATTCACTTTTATAGTACAACAATGGTCTGAGTAATATATGTTAGCACATGTTGTTTATCATGTATCCTTATAACGTCTGTGTACTCCAAAAGTATTTTTCCTTTTATATTCAGAAACGATTGACCAAAAGGCAGTTCTTTTGGGAGTGATTGGAGCTATGAAGAGCAGAAGCCAATATGACTTTTATTATCTTTTACAGCGGTTTTATTTATGTTTTATTGAGTGTCTTTTTCTATTTCAAGCATTTTTGTAGCTTTTGTATTTGTTGGAACGATTTACAATCTTGAGACATTCCTTTTTGAAACCAGTGCACAAGTGTCTTTGCTGCTTTATATCTGCAGGTCTATAACGTCAACGATTCAAAACATGTTTTACTGATATGCCCAAAAAAACTAAACTCCACCATTTCATACTTACTTAAATTATTTCCTTCAGTCACATGAAAAGTCACATTTTATCTGCCACCAGCTAAAAGTAGCCGCTAATGTATTCAAATAGATAAATAGATACATGTATTCAAATAGATACACCGGCAATTTGAATCAGTTTATATGGATATGTTATCCTCCTGAAATGTAAACACAGACTACAAGTCCAAGAGGTATTAAGTTTGATTCACAAATTATCTTATAACAAAGTCTTGATTTTGACTTGAAGACACCAGTAGGAACCCTGAATGCAGTTTGAAAAACCCCGGTCAGGACAGTGGGCAGCAGCAGTTATAACTGGACACAACTTTTGGGAACAAGTAAAAAGCCAGGACTATAAATAAAGAAAACGTGAGACTCAAGACCTGAGGACATCTCACAATTGCTTTCATACATACCTCATAAACCACGACAAATTTAATCACACAACATTATGTTTACTTTGGGAATTTCATTTTTGCACTTGCTCAGCTGCTGCAGTAGAAATCATTCAGTTTCCGTGAAGCTCTTAAAAGCACCATGATTGCTTTATTTTTGCTTCCCGTTACTGAACAACAAAACACATGCAGCGAGGGACTTTGTATTGATTCCAAACAAGATGAGCGTGCTATAACTGTCCAAATATATACATTTCTAATATAATCTTGGCTTTTCCTTGTGCGCTCAAATGCCTCTCTGCCCATTGTCTCATTCCAATCCGAAAGGCGTGTTCATCTCAGAATTATCTGGTTTTACACATGCCTAGGTTCCAAATTAAATTGGAATAGGAATTGTAAACATACTCATTAACATGTCTATAAGCTCCATGAATAATTCCAGTATTACAATAAGAACACATTAGCACCAGTATATTTCTCTATGATGGACCGCTGAGCATTCAAATGTGTGTGTGTGTCTTTTTATTTTTTTTTTTTTTACTTCGCAGCCATTCCCTTTTTACTTTGCTGGGCATTAGATCAATTTGTTTTTGTTCAACTTTGACAATCACAAATAACGGGACCAAAACTTTTCATAATTTAAAGTGACTTTTTTTATTCTGAATTGTATTTCAGTTCTTTATTAATGCCATTCTTCCTGGAATAGTAAGTTTGTGTGTATTTAACCGGACACAGTAGATCTATGCACCGCTCGCTCTGTAACCTCTGTAAGCACTCGCAGCGCCATTAACTGGACCACGTCTGTACTGCACATGTGCCGCTGTTTCACCTAGAGCAATAAAAGCATCCAGGTAATCCACTATCTTTGTTTCATGTCATTATTATTGCTTATTGGAAATACCAGCATAAAAAGCACCTTAAAGGTATAAAGGAGGATTTTCCCATATTTTAGGAAAGAACCGCCCTTTCTACTTTTTGAACAAAACTCTCTGCTCTTATAGGACAAGGACGTATAAACAGAATGATTGACATTTGGGAGGACCAATAGTGTTGATGATCCACCCGGAAGTAGAAAATCCTCTTGTATACCTTTAACTTAAAAGTGCCATATTGCGCTCTTCATCATGTTTCACTGCAGCCTATGCACATGTGTCATAACAGTTGATCATTTGAGTGATACACCATACAACACTCAAAACTTATGAGATTATAGCCATGTTTTGTATCGAGGTCAACTCAAACAGTCTGCTCCTCTGTCCGTGAGCCCGCCTCCCCCCACCCGCACCTTTTCCAACAATGGTAATCTTACACATCGAGCCCTATGTTCTTGATCCAGAATCAGATCCTATTATTTAGTTTAAAGAAGTATAGTTAGTAGCACTGTCTTTTATCGTGGGAATAACACTGGTTTTCCAGATCAGTTATTGAGTAAGTCCAGTTCATGGTAACTGTAGTTCTGGAACAGTCTCAGTGAAGTGTCGCAGATGAACACATTCATTAGAGTTAGATCTTCTTGAAAAAGCAATCTTCCTTTTGGCCCAAACAGTGTGTCACATATTTACTCCTAAAACACATTTTCTCAAAGTTGACATGATCCTAACACTTTTAGTCGCTGACAAAAGCATAAAAACAGTAGCTCCATGTGGTGTCCGCGAGACCGTAAGCTGGACTCGAGAGCTGGACTCGGGAGCTGGACTCGGGAGCTGGACTCGGGAGCTGGACTCGGGAGCTGGACTCGGGAGCTGGACTCGGGAGCTGGACTCGGGAGCTGGACCTGGGACCTGGACCTGGGACCTGGACTCTGGAGCTGGCTGTGCGCCGTGATTCGCTGTTTCGATTTGTCAAACAACTCCTGGATTGTACAATTATTATTATTATTATTGACAGCAAACAGCATATTTATTGTGTATAATGCTTTCTCTGTTTTGACGACATTATTTAAGAACCATTTTAAAAACAAAAAAAAAGGCTTCTGCACTTCATATTCATCATCTTAGTCGGTTTGCACTGTCTCAGCAGTTGATGATGAAAAGCAAACCTGCGCATGAGCTTCTCACGGCAGCCAAAGCAAACCAAGACAGTGAACATTAAGTCTGTGAATTGTTTAAAAAGTTTAAATATGAACAAATGAAGACACAGGTTTCACTTTTAATGCAGTGTGAGGCAAGATGTTGATGGCTCCATGTTGAGACAGTTTTGTGTAAAGTTGGTTTAAGTAGTCTTTGACCTTGTCCACGACTTGCTTGTTCATATGTGTATCTTTTACCTGGGGGGGGGGGCAGATTTGACTGTAACTCAGAGATTAGGGGCTGTAAACGGTGGACTTCGGATACTTTAATAAAGAGTAACCAAGTATACTGCAAGTATGATTTAACCGTCCATTCTGTATAAAGTCAGGACCTAATGAAACAGCGGCCACAGGACAGGCCCTGCGGACTAAATCGGTCGCCATGTTCCCGGAGTGAGCCTCTTTTTTACGACGTGTTTATTTGATATCTGTGCTCCCGCTGCTGGACGAGGTGCTAAGCCGCTCTCTGCTGCCTCCGTACATTCTTGGGGATTTGATTTAAGGCGCACTAATGCTTCAGCCATGGCGCGGCGCACAATTCCATGTCAGACCCCATGTTTTCCACAGGCCTTTCCAGCCACCACACTGCATTACTGAAGGTTTTCGGGACACATTATGAGATCGCTCTTGCCAATCAGTGGTGCAGTCTCCTCACTCACTGTCTTTGTTATTGCAGGCACAAATATTGGAATAAATAAAAGGGAGTTAGATTAACTTCTACGTTGCCATTGACTACTGTATTAGCTCATCTTCTCCTTTAGAGGAAGCAATGATTAGACGCCGGTGATATCAGCGTTTGACTGTCCGTCTGTCTGTTTGTGAGCAACAAAACTCAAAAAGTTAGGGGAGGATTTGAACATTTTCAGAAAACAGGCATGGCCCAGAGAATAATTAAGTCATAAATCTGAATAACAATCAGTCTGGATGCAGTTTTTTTTTTTTAAGGAAAGGATTTGTACATGAGACAAAATAGTAAATAAATTACTCCCTTTTACTCCTGGAAATTAAATGTAATTTGTAATTGCCCTGATTCACAACAGCAGTTTACTCAGAGAACTTTACAAAGTTGTCGATTCACCAACAATAAAACAAACACAAAGGAGCCATTGGTCCATAGAGCAGAGGATCGATCACAGTCCTTGGACCACAAAGTAACAGTAACTTGACTGTTACTTTGTGGTCCAAGGACAAAATAGTATCAATGTATGTATTTCAATATGTTCATGGTACACAGTTAGAAAGAAGAAAATATATAAAGCACTCCGATGATGTAAGAGCTATTTATTCGCCTATGTTTAATAATAATAATGCTTCAGTTTTATCTTTTTTATTCACTCCACACACAGAGGTGACACACTGCTACTGTAGCCATATCTGCCCTGGGGCACACGGTGGTGGTAGGAAGCCATTGGCCCCCTGACCACCCCCAATCATTCATGTACACACCAGACTCATTCTCTGCAATGTGGCTGAAGTGTCTTGCCTAAGGACACAACAGCAGTTTGCCACTTTACAGCAAGGGTAGTTTAGTTTAGAGTATGTTGGTCACCAAACAACCTCAGAAGTCTGAAGTCCAAGGAACACACCAGGTCAAGGAAAAAGTTCCCTGAACACGATGATATATATACAGGCTACTGTGTATATTAGGAAACTGATTGTCCATTTTCAATAAAACAATACAATTTCAGCCTTTTTAAATTTAAAATACAATAA